AGGGCCTATGAAAGCTATCAGTGAATTTCTGTATTTCTTTTCAGTTCATTCATTACATGATGAGGCAAAAGAAAAATTTCTTTTAGTACACAGAATATTATTAAGTGTGATGAAAAAGAGCACTCTGAATTGCAGTCACAGTGTTTCAATTTATCCCAGAGTTTAATTTCCATTAATTAATTAATTCCAGGAAATACAGCACCCAAAACACCTCAGAATGATTTCTCCCTCTAGCTAGTAAATGGCTATATTTGACAAGCTGAATTGCCAGAGGCTGGGGTAGGAGGTGATCAGAAAATTGAGGTTTGAATGAAGGAAAAATTAAAAAGAACTCTACTAAATCATTCCCCAAAACTTCTATTTAGAGATATACTGACTCCACTGTTAGAGGTAATATATAGTCATCATAAGTAGTAGTTATCAGCAGTCTTCACCTGTGTAAAATTCTGTGGTTCATATTTTAAGCCACTCAAGTTGGCATTTAAAGCCTTTAAAATTGGTATTCCTTGTTGAGTACCTTTTCACAAAAAACATCACATTCAGTTTCATAGGCCGCCATAAAAGTATAAAAAATGTTTGAGCACTTTCCGAGACCTAAAGCCCAGCAAGGGGTTCCAACCTTGTGGCCTTTCTCTTTTTGTTGTCTCCACTTGAAACTTACCCTCTCCAAGCCTATGAAAAATGACATTTCCAAGGAAAAGGAGCAGCAGTCTTCACACTTCCTGCTCTTTCCTCCTGGGCTGTAGACCAAGAGAGAGAGAACAGATGAATAATGTGAGGATAGTGTCAAGGATAAGAGGTCTGCTCAGAGGATTTTGCCCAAACCTAGATCTTGCCACAAATAACCTATTGGTAGGAGAGCATTAATGGATCATATCAGGGGACAGCTGCGCACACCCCTTGCAGTTCTTGAACTGAATTGGCCTTGAATGCACATTGTTACAACATAATAAAGGTGGACATAACCTACCTCATTAGCTCCACAAAATTGCACATTTCACAATGATGCTGTCTTTGATGAG